TGCTCTATATGTTCATACTTCCAATGGACCAGAAAGACCCCACCAGGATTTAGAAGTGCTGTTTAACAGTTTTAGAAGAGTGGGAACAATCTAAGCGGGGGGGGGAGGGAAGCACTAAAAGATAGTAACTTAGAAGAGTTGACTTCTAATGCCGTTAACTTCCTGAAGAATAGTCAGAAAAATGCGGGCGGGGAGGCTGATGCATTTTGCATCCTCCGAAAGATCACAAACGGGACCAACGGATTTTGAAAAAGCATCGCCCGGGTTGACGTCTGGAGCGACCAGGGAAAACGGAGCGACTTGCCAAGGCTCCCAACCCGTTTGCGTTTACACTACATTTGCCAGATGTCGGGGCGCGCCCCTAGATGGGAGGTTTTCTTTGCTGTGATGCAGCTCTGAAAAACGGGGGACGACAAAATAACACAAGGACGGAGTGCTGGATTGCCGCTGGCCCCGCACGACTCAAGCCCTTGATTGTCGGCAACTAATAAAAATGATTTCAGTTGAGAAATGGCATTTTCTGCAGAGTTCCTACGTTCTTTGATTCTGTGCTAACGGACCGCTGTCGAGTAACGCAGCCTGGGTTGAGGGCCAAAGGCTAACCTTTCAGGGTAGGAAAAGGGCAAAATAGAAAGCTCCGTTCCCCAAATATCTCAGGGTGAAATCTCTTCCAGAACTTCTCAACTCAGTCCTAGTTCTGGAAGAGACCTTTCAAGAAATGCATGAACCCTGGATTGCTTAGATTAGAAATCTTTCCATTTACACTTAAGTTAGGAGTACAACCAGAGTTCAAACTTGGCAACTTTAAGATGGATGGATTTCAACTCCCAGAATTCCCCAGCCAGCATGCTAGCTGGGGAATTCTGGGAGTTGAAGTCCACCCATCTTAAAGTTGCCAAATCTGAAAAAGACTGAACCAGAACCCCCAGTGTGCGCTTCATTTGATGCAAGTAAAATGCTGCCAAATGTAATTTGGGGCGTGGTTCCACCCCCAGTTTTTGGGAAGGCACCCCCTGCTTTTCTGAGGCGGAGAACAGCCTGTGGCTTAGAAAAAATGCGTGCATTTCTGCAAGAGAGCAAATTCAAATTTCTTTACAGTTCCACAGTTAAAACGTAAATAATTCTCTTGGTTCATCCCTTTCTAGCCCTTGTCAGAGGGTCTGATTTTAAATATCTACATTCCACTGAGATAATGGTATTTAGTTTATAACATCTCTCCCCATGCTGCATGTTTCATGCATCCTGTTTGTTAAATGCATTTGCATGCCATTGTATTAAAACACGATTCCCGAGGGCTTACTGGAATGGTTTTGCCAGCCACCCCATTTCAGTTGTTGGAGTAGAAATGGTATTTTGGTCCTACAATCTCACTGATCCGGATATTCTTAAAAGGAGTCCGGGAGGTGGGGGGAAGAGCTGATAACTAGTGGAAGATGGGGTCTAGAAGAGTGGTGAAGCCCACTGACCCACTGCTTGCTGGACGTATTCGAACAGGACTGGATGGCTACAGGGACGGGACAGTTTAATGCTCTAACGTCCCTTTCAACTCATGCGTTCTGTGATCCTAAAGTCTGCCTCCGAGCTTGTATGCATTGAATAAATTGATCTCAGCACATGGGGGTAAAGAGGACAGGCTCCACCCTTCCCAGAAGGAAAATTTCTTCTTGGCTGCCAGAAAAGACAATACGAATCTATTCGGAGCAAAAATAGGCCCTTGGCAAGGACGACAAAAAAGGAACAATTTGATTTCATGACCGAGACTGACGCGGGAAGTGACCACTCAACGTTCCCTTCTAATCAAGAAATGCAGATTTTCTAGGTGAGCTGAAATTGCTTCGCCTTTGTGAATCTGGTGCCCTGCAATGTGTTTGCTTCCCGTGACCACCTTCGCAGGGAATGCTGGGAGATGGGCGGCCCCCCCAACACCTGGAGGGCAGCTAGTTGGCCAAAGTGGGGCTAATCCTGCTTCCATTTGGGGGTCGGTGGCCTCTGGAACAAACCTGCCTGTGTCGGTCCCATTTTTAAACTGTTCCAGGAGGGTGATCCTTATGACATCTTGTGGCAACATGTTCCACTGGTTAATTGCTCTGCATGAAGGGGGGTCCTCTGAATCTGTCCTGAATTGCCCCCCCCACTCAATCTCTAGTATGAAAGAAAACTTGTTTCTCTATGTTATACTTCATCCAGCCTGTTTAAACAAAGGAAATTCTTGCATCTCCTGAAAAAGTTGGTTCCACTGTCAAATTCCACAGGCCCCTTTAGGAAATTCTGATGTGTAACCCTAAACTGTTTCCTTGACGTTTCTTGTCCATCCTTCTGGCATAACCAAACCCTTCTAGCCATTTTCTGCATGATGGCCCTCCTAGATACCTGGAGCCTACTCATGTCTTCTGCAAGGCTAGATATTCCCACCACTTCGTTCCCCTTGAGTTTTTCCTTCCAGATCACGAATTCCACCCTGCCCGCTGCTTGGACCAGGCTGGAGATGTAAAATGGGGTACTTCACTCCAAATTGATGGAGATCTCCAATGTCTACTGTGTATACTTGCGGATAAGCCCGTGTGCAGATAAGCTGACCCTTGAAATTTCAACCAAAACGTCATGAAAAGTACACCACCTGTGAATGAGCCGACTCTCAAATCTGTAACCAAAATAGGTTATATTGCTCTGGTTAAGCATTCAGCTGCTATATGAGTGGCTGAGTCATGATGGGCTTTAAAAGATCTTGAGCTCTGATCCACAGATAAGCCAAACCCAATTTTTGGGGGTGTATTGGAACTAACATTCTTGACTTATCCACAAGTATATACAGTATATGGTTTCATGTAGATATTGAAGGGGACAGGGCTGAGCCCAGGGACACACCATATTGGAGTGTCCAAGAGCGTCTCAACCTCTCCTCCTCTACCAACATTGACTGGTTGGAACCACCAACTCAGAAGAGGCAAAACCACTGAAGCACAAGATGTCCATGATTGGTGGCCAGAACGTTAGTAAGAGGTAAGCCGGTGTAATGGGAATAACCTTGATGAACAGGAGGAAGAGCCACAACTAAGACAACGGTCAGATAAACAAAATTTGAGTCCAAGGCAGAAATGTAATTTGAGAAAGTGTCTCAGAAGGGACCCTCCCTAGTTCTCACAAAGACAAAGGGAAGGAAGGGGAAGCACATTCAGACTTGCAGGATTCTGTTACTGTAACCTTGTAATAAAAATAGTATTAGCATTCATAATGTTGGTTTCCTAGTTTGGTCTACCTCAAAGGGTTGATATCAGGTCACTCTCCAAGTCTCCTGATGTCAGTCACAATAGCAACCCATGGGGGTTTCCATCCCATGCCTGGGTCTGAACCCTGATCATGAAGATCCAGATAATCAGCTCCATCCAGGCCTTCTGTAAATGCTACCAACCTTCTCAACAAGGACTTAAAGAGGTCTTCACTACTGCCTGAGCCCATTTCCTTGTCCCCTCGCTGGCAGCTCAAACCAGCCAAGAGGGACAAAGATCGAGACCACCAATGGTGCATGTCCTCTCGCCACAAAACCCAAGAACCTTTTCCAGCTCAGACTTCAGTGGGATTTATGACTGTTTGGTCCAACCTGGTGTAGCATCGGGTTCAATCACAGTGAAAAACAGGCAGTACAGGCCCACGGGACTGGACAGATTGGAAGCTTGGTAGCCCATTTGTAACCTAGACCGTTTCCTACATTCATTCCTTCAATGACATGGGAACCCCCAAGGTGGCATATGTACCCCAAGTGTTTAGGATCTTCTAGACCTGTATTCCTCAACCTTGGCAACTTGAAGATGTATGGCCTTCAACTCCCAGAATTCCCCAGACATGTCATCTAAATACTCCCATTAAAAAGAACCAAGCATAATCTCCTCCCCTTGTCCCTACCCCCTGCAAAAAATCCCCAAAGAAAGAGATAAAGGTTTATTATAGATCTTGCAAATTTCCCACTGAGATTTCTGGCCAAGGCCTCTCCTCTGGTGAAAGCTGTTTTGGTTTCTGTCGAAGACCGACCAAGTGTGCTGGTGTCCAGAACGCGTACCGTGCTACTAAAATCCGAAGCCAGCTCTCAGAGCTTACGGAGCTTCTGGAGAAGCATGGTCCGAAGCTCCTTGTTGGTGACGTTCTCCACGATGGATTCCAAGAAGTGAGTCTCATTTGCCTTGCGCAGGGCACTCCCGAGGGATTCATCAATGTCATAAAGCATCTCATACTGTGAAAGAATTTCTAATGAGAGGAGCAGGAGGGGTTCCCCAGTCCCATCATTGGGCAACATGGCAGCCACGTGAAGAGTGTGGCAGAACATCTGGATGTAAACAAAGGACAACTCCCGGGTCACGTTTTTCTCTTCCACAGAGTGCCATTGGCCACGGGCAATGCTCTTTACTGAGCTCAGCAGATCAGATAAGCTAAGGCAGTACAGCTTTGCCATGTGTTTCCACGCCTCTGCTGGCATCCACGTTGCACCACTGGAACTGCAGAGGAACTGGAAGGTTCGCAGCAGAAGCACAGACAACTGGAGATGATATGCAAAAGGCCGGAAGTTCAACAACGGCAAGTACTGGACATACTCTAGGGAGTAAGGAACATAGAGGATTTCTCGTTCCAAGAGGCTTTTGACCACATGAACAAGTCTTCTCCACTCACTTTGGCTACACCATGGAAAGATCTGGACAAGGGCCACCAAAAACCCCTTGCTGAAGAGGTTGACTTCTTCAGGGTTATCCACGTTAACCATGAGGAGTACAAGCATCTGTTCCCGCAAGGCTGTTGAGATGCAGCAACTTTCCATCCAGGCCAGCAACCCACTGCCTGCCCCATAATTTGGGAGTGAGCGGGATGTCCATTCCTCCTCTGGAAGCTTACAGATCTGAAAAAGAGTAGCTGGGACTTCATTCCTGAAGTGTTCTCCGAAGATGTTCTTCAAGCGGAGGCCAACGGTCCAGTCCAAGGCTTTTATTTTCTTG